TTATCAACAGCCCATGGGCTTTGAGAAAGCTTCCCTTTTTAATAAAAAGCCAAATCCTAATCTGGCACGGAGACAAAGCCCACAACATGTAAGCAGCCATCTCCTGCAGAAAGGCTTTCTGACCCGCCGGTTGGTTTGACGGCCTAGGATCTTTCTGGCGGCCCTGGGTGCCGCTCGAATGAGCCCTTCCGCCCTCTCCATGCCCACAAATATCTCCAAAGGGTCCTATTTTCTGCTGGTTAACTCGGGGAAAACTATCATTTCTAATGAAAAAAGGAAATATCCTTATTTGGTAGTAGTTAAGTAGTGGCATATTGGTCGAGGAGTAATTGAGAGTCCGCTCAATTCTCCATGAGGTAGCGGGATAGCTGGGAAAGAAGGTGTGATAGGGAAAGAAAAGGAGATTGGGATCGGCAGGGTGAGACCTCCAGGCTTCGGAGTTCACCGTGCAGTGAACCCGCCCAGCCCGCCCCGCAGCCCGCGCTCGCTCCCCACCCCTATTGTCCGCAGCCAGAGCTCGGGGGTCGTGACCTAGGCGAAGGCGACACAGTGCCCAGGGCAGACGCGGCCTGCAGCCCAGAGCAGCCCTTGTCCAGCTTGGCCCCATTTCCCCAACCTAAGACCCCTGCCCTCCGGCGGTCCAAAGAAAAGAAGCTACCCTCTCCCGCCATCCCCAACTGAAACAGTCGCTTTTTTTGCCCAGGGCTTCCCAGGCAGCCAGAGGCCGGGAGCGAGAAGCTAGGGTCTAGTTGGTGGTTTGACGTGCACACACTCTGTTTCAGGGTGTCTGCACCCCACCACCACCAGATTCAAATATACTTTCCTCTCTCAGTCTCTAAACTGGGACTGGGAAATGCGGGAGAAGGAAGTGAGCCGACCAGCCTTTGCTCCCCCCTTACTCCTGGGGCAGGAGGAGCAGAGCCCTGAGGACGCTACAAATTAGAGAGTCTGGCAGCCGATTAGGGGAACTGCACATTTAAAATGAATCTTCCCTTTTACTGGACTCGGTAACACTCTCTTCCTCCCTGATCCTTCCCCTGCTTTCCTTCGGAATCTTTCTCAGGGCCTGGCGGGAAGGGGAGCCGCTTCGGCCTTTCTCACAGCTTGCATGGATGTGTGTTTCCTTGGATCCCGTGTCACGGTGAGAAGATGCAGAGCTGGCTGACACCAAAGAGAGCCGGATAGGATAAGGGGGCGCCCACCCTACCTGAGAAATGGAGGGAGACTCCGGGCCTCGGGAAGCCTATAGCAAACCTCCTTCCCGTTGGCCTTAGTTTTTGCCTGGTTTCTAAGCCTCAAAGGGAATAGCACTCCCTGACAGGCAGGTTGAAAGGTGTGCAAGGCTTCGAAAGTCTCTATCAAATAGTGAATCCCATCTTTTTAATTCTCAAGAGGCATACTCCAAAACTGCCACACACCCACACACCGCATGAGAGAGAGAGAGAGAGAGAGAGAGAGAGAGAGAGAGAGAGAGAGAGAGAGAGATTAAAATGGGGTGAGAGGTTCCGGGTGCAGAAAAAGCACTCTAAGAAGGGCAGTCAGTTCTATGAGGAAGCTCGGTCAGAGGCAAAGACATTTTTTTTCCCACCTAAATTCTCCAAATGTTTATTTTGGGCTTCTGCCCATCCAGATAAATCAAGCTAACAGATTAGGAGGTTCATAAAATTGTATTCTTAGGTAATGACATCCAGAGAGGCAATAAATATTCCATCTGCTTTGGTGGCCGCTGGAGTTAGGGGATCTTCCATCTCTTTTTACCAAGCCTAGGAGAGGCCTCTAGGAAAGGAGGCATTTTAATTTGAATTAGCTGTCCAAAGGTGGGGTGCCAGATAAAAGCTGAGGAAAGCCTGGAGAAGTGGCTTTGTGAATACAGCACCATGCTACCCCAGGGCCTGGCAAAAAGCCGAGCAAAGGATTGAAGTGCCCAGTGTGCTGCTCCTCCTTGTCATGGTGCCCTCTTCAGGGCCCTTTCTGGGTTAGTCCTGAATTTTAGGAAAACAGAGAAACCCTCCCTAATAGAAGGCATCCTAGCCCACACTTTGGCAAACCTCTTACACACGCACCCGCACCCACACGTTTACACACACACACACACACACACACACACACACACACACACACACACACACACACTTTGGGTTTCAATATGAAATTCCACAGAAGAAAACGGAGACATTCAGAGCCGTAGGAAACTTCACACAAACTGCAAGAGATCCTCAGAGAAACAAAGTGGCCCAGTCCCGTCCCCACCCCCCCCACCTCAGCCTTACTTTCTCCAGGTTATCTCTCCATTTTTTGAGCTGTTTTCTCACAGCCTGCCTTCCATGTGTGAACTCCCATTTTTTCCCTAAGCAGACTCTCTCTATCCACATTTGCTTTCCCACCTTCTCTCTCAAACAACTGGAGTTGAAACAAAAATTCAGTGGAAGACAGAGTTCAGACTTGTGCTCCTTACCCGAGGGAAGATTGAGTGCTAGCTACTTACACAGCGAAGGGATTTGGGACTTGTGGGTATCTCCCGATGCTTGGAAAGAAGGACCCTGGAAGACTGGTGTCCCCCAGTTCACAGGTCTTCATTTTACTTGGCCATTGAAGATGATATAATGCTGGACTAGCAGGCATTCATGCACCTTCCTCTCCCATGAGTCTGGGCAAGAAACTCCAGTCCTACAAAAGCTGTGGCATCCTATCTGGGGCTAAGCAAGGACTGGCCTTAGGAGGGTCGGAGATGGGGGTGGGGGAGAGGTCAGAGGCTCCTCTGAATATAAAGGCAATGGGAGAGAAAATGCTGTGTCCTTCCTGTGAACCTGGGCTGTGTCCTCCCCCCAAGCCTTTCCCCACTGCTCTACTCAACTCCAATAAAAGCCTTGTCCTCCACTTCCCAGTGAGGCCAGGAAGCATCTGGAGCATTGAGGCCAGGGCTGCTAGAGCTTGGAGCCCAAGCCCAGGTTAGTCCATGCTCCATCCCTGCTCAGCAAGGCTGCAGGCTTTCTGGGTGGTCAGGGCCCAGTCAAAGGAGAAAGAAGAGGGAGATTCCCGGAGGTCAAAGGCCCAACTCTTCAAAAATCCAAGTGTAAAAGATTTTAATTTTGCTACATTTGTCAAGAATGTGTGGATTTGGGATGTTCCTCCCTTTCCAGATCAAGAAGGACAGAGTTAATCACTTTGTGTGCCACAAGAAGAAAGAAAATAGAAACCTTCAAAGAAAAGGAAATAGATGTCCCAGCCCTTTGTAAGCTGCTTTCCCTGAGTTCAGAGTGTCCCTTCACAAAGTGCCAGGACAAACTTCAGAAGTAACACGTAGTGGCAGCCCTCTCCCCATAACTCTCCAAAGCTCAAAGTCAGGCAAAAAGCTGTGGCTCTGAAGATAACCCCACTGCTTCCCACCTCATCTTCTTCCCAGGCTCAGAAAGACACCCTGGCCTATCCCTCAGACCTTCTTCCTTCTCTCTTCCACAGTTCACACCCCTCCCAGCCCTCGCAAGGCAATAGCTTCTAGATGATTGGGGCTACAGTCAGATCAGGCCCCTAATTTGCTTGATTACATAAAATAACTCCAGATAATTGTTAGCTCTGCTTCCTCACATTGTAGACAGCATGTTTTGCTGTCTCCAGAGTACTATTGAGGGAGAGAAAGTAGACCTCAAGGACTAAGAGACCCACCCCACCCCCAACACATAGCCAAACTCCAGAGCACAATACAGACTTTGCTCCCATGATCACAGTCAGCAAGTGGTTCAAGAGAAAAGAAATTTAAAACACATCAAATAGATTTTTCACAACTTGGTGTCTTTGCTGCCTGTTGCCTCTCACTCCAGGATTCAGAGTAGGGGAAGGTGGTTCAGTTAGCCTCTCCTGCTCCCAATCCTGAGTGCCCTCCATCCCGAAGTTTAGATAAATCACCTAAGGAAAAGCTCCCAACTGCTCCCCTCCCCCACCACAAAAAAAGAAAGAGAGAAAGGAAGAAAGAAAGAAAGAAAGAAAGAAAGAGAGAAAGAAAGAAAGAAAGAAAGAAAGAAAGAAAGAAAGAAAGAAAGAAAGAAAGAAAGAAAGAAAGGAAGAAAGATGGGCGGGCTAAACTTAAGGCCTGATCTCCAGGACCAGAGAGACCCACCTGGGGTCCTTTCAGTTGAATTAGTTCTTTGGATAATCTAAGATAGTTTTTCTCCTCATACCCAAGAAAACTATTATCTATCTTACCACCACAGAGCCTGGCTCAGATACCTACACTCTGCCAGGACATGGAAAGTTGCAGGAGAAGGGTAGTCACTAAACCTCTAAGATTTTTCCCTAACACCTGGCAGATCATGATCAAAAGTTCCAGAAAAATGTAAAAGTCCTTCCTTCTTTCCTTCACTAGCTACCTCCAGGCATCAGCCTTTGAGGCCTACACATGCAAGGGGCCTTACAGGCCTCTCTGGCCTCTACTTCACCCTTTCCCCTAAGGCTAAACAAACAGATATTCTATCCTGACAGGTCACTTTGCAGCTTCAGAATCACCAGCTCTAAACCCTTCATCCCTTTGGGAGAATGTGACAAGAGGAAGGGACATCATCCTCAAAGTCTTACCCCAAGAAGTCTTGAAAGAGCGAAACTTTTTTTCCTACCTTTCTCTAAACTTGCCTTCTGGTCTGCAGGTTTGGCCAGCTTAAAGGACAGGGAGGGTGGGGTATGAAAAAGGAATGGTCGAAAAGAGGGGACCGAGCCAGTGGAAAAGCGAGGACTCCCACCCACGCTCAGCACCCCACGCTCAGCTTCACTGTAAGGACCCCAGGCCTGGTCTCGCTGAGAAGTCGGAGAGAAGGGGCAGAGGAACCCTCCACAGTCCGCACATCCCTTACCCCAGACCCCTCACAGTTTTTTCCATAAGCCCTGAACACCTGAGGTCAAATGTTAAGGTTTGTGTGTTTGTTCAGAGTGAACTTAGGCGACTATAGAGAGGGTGAGATGTCACCAGGCCAGAAGGAGGGGGATTAAAAAGAAACCATCAGACATTGACGTAAAACTAATTCACAGCCACTGGTTTATTATTGATCACGGGGCATTTCACATCAACACTAAAATTCTTTATTGCAAGTTTACAATAATCAAGTAAATTCAGTCCAAAAACACAACAACCACGATGGGGTAGGGAGCATCTACCTACAGACTGCCGCCTCTCTGAACTGAAAGTTCATTTTTATGTTCTTTTGGCTCCTCAAACTAAACAGCTCCCAGAGGCTCTCCAGATGCTTTAGCTTTGTCTGCTGTCCCCCCCTCCTCCCACCCCCCCACAAGAATACAAAAGAACTTCATAGCTTTGTTCTCCTTAAAATGACTTCCCCCTCACTAACCTCCCCTGGTGCATTTTCAATGCAAAAGGCCTAAGGAAAGTGGGGGGGAGGAGGAGAGAGGATGAGAATCCACTTAAAAAATCTCCCTTTCCTTCTTCTTTTCCTCATTTTTCCTGAAATTCACCCAAACCAGACCATCGCACCTTGCAATATATAATTTTTGCAGCTTTTTTTCTTAAAAAATAAATACCCCCCCAATGGCCTTAAAAAACAAAAACAAAACAAAAACAAAACCCAGCAGGTACCATGCTAAGATAACACCACATGCTTAAAGGGGTCCTCAACAGTGAAGGGAGAAGGGCAGGGGGCTTGTTTATCTGTTTGTCTGTTTAGAACTGACAAGGGAGGAGGCAGGAGGAAGAGGGAAAAGAACCAAAATATATATATATATTAAATTCTATAAATAAGAGTCAATTTGTGTGTGAGGGGGTCACGGAGCACAGGGTGGGGGCAGGGGTGTAAGTTACGTTTTATAACCTGGTAATGTCCTCTGCCCGTTGCTGCTCCGGCGGCGTGGCGCTCTGGGAGTGGTCTTCAGAAGTACCGGGGGTGGCTGCCGAGAGGGTGCTGGGCGCAGCGCCGGCCGGGGGCGCTGACCTCACTTTGGTGTTGGGGAGTCGGTGGTCCTTCTTCCATTTCATGCGACGGTTTTGGAACCAGATTTTGATCTGCCTCTCAGAGAGGCACAGCGAATGGGCGATCTCGATCCTTCTCCTTCGGGTCAGGTAGCGGTTGTAATGAAACTCTTTCTCTAATTCCAGGACCTGCTGCCGGGTGTAGGCTGTCCTCGAGCGCTTGGGCTCCCCTCCGTTATAATTGGGGTTCACTGGGGGGGAGGGGAGGGGAAGCAAATAGTGGGGTTCAGAGGCAGCAGTCTCCCCGCCCCCACCCACACCCCATCCTCAGCTTTGAGGAGCAGGAGGGAGTGGTGGGAATAAAGTCATCAAGCTAAATGGGTTATAAAGAAGTTGAAGGGAGCTGGAGACTTTGTAGTGTAATAAGAGGGGAATCCTCATTGTAACGACACTGAATTATTTATGCGCCCTTAGAAAGCGAGCATAGTTTTCACACATACATAACAGATCGTAGCACATGGCTCGGACTGCCCAGAGTAGCTAAGCCATAAAATTTATGGGGGATGTAATTACCCATTCTCGCTCGTAAATCCAGTTCAATTGTGCTAACCCAGAGTCGCTCCTGGAGAGAGAGGGGGGAAGGAGAGAAAGGAGGACGGGGCCGGAGGGGGCCAGGGAGGGTGGGGAGCGCCGGGAAGAGGGGAGGGGGGCAAAAAGCAAAGTTGCCTACCCGTGCTAACGTGAATTTTTTTCATCCAAGGGTAGACTATGGGCTGCTTGCTGGCGGCGCTGGAGGGATGGTCGGGGGCTGGCTGGCTGCAGGCTGGCGGGGCTGGGGATGGGGAGGCAGAGGCGCCTGAGAGAGGCGCCGGCTCGCAGAGCGGCTGCGATTTCTCAGGGTGGTGGTGGCCCGCCTGGGCCGGCCCGTGGGCTCGCGAATTGCCGGGCCCCTGGAGACTGGTGCAGCTATACTGACGCTCAGGGTAGCTAGGGCGCGGAGGCGGTGGTGGGTACAGCTCCTGGTGGTGATGCTGGAATCCCGATTCCCTGGTCCGGCCGTAATATTCCGGACTGTGTTCAGGGATGTAGCTATTTTGCGAATATTCTTCGCATGGAGGAAATTTCGGATCGATGTAGTTAGAGTCCATCAAATACGAGCTCATGATCATTAATTTCTGGAGTGGAAAATAATTTTTCTCGCTTTGTCGTTTTTCTGCTCCATAAAGCCCTCCTACTAGCTAGCGACCCTGTAAAGTTACTTTCACCATGTGACTCCGCCGGCCAATCACACCGAGCAACCCAGTCCCCGGATAAGGAACCGAATCGCTTTATTCAAAATGTATCCAATTTTTTGTGTGTGTGGTGCTGCTGCTGCTGGGGGTGGGGTGGGGTGGGGGGGATGGCTGGCAGAAGCTGGGGTGCTCACCATTGCACACCCCGCCAGACTGACAATCCTCCCCTGCAAAAGGAGATGGGAGGCTCCCAGTTCGGCTCCAATGCCTGGGCATTGAGGGCTGTCGGGAGGCTGTGATTCAGCCCCGGCCCAGGGTCTCCTCTCCGGCCTCCAGGGCGCCCGGTGGGCCCAGGCTCCAGTGCCTTTCCAGTGGTCTCCATTATAGTAATCCTGTTGCAGTCTTGTGTAGGTCACAGGGCAGCGCCCCTCTTTCGCAGGAAGAGGAAGTTCACTGAGGGCTTCAGAGGAGGTTGGATGGGGAGGGGCCCAGGCTGAGCTTAGAATGCTAGGGAGCCTGAGGTACCTCAGCCCATCCAAGGATCCTAAAGTCCAGCTCCCCTCCCCATACACACTCACCCAACCCTCTTGGCCAAGGGACCGTCGAGACAGGGTCCCAGCAGTACTAGGCAGGTTGAGGCAGCGGGATGCAAATGATCCTGACGTCATTTCTGGAGGTCTAGGGCTTGAGCCCCCGCTGAAGAGAGACAGGAAGTGGTTGGCAAAAGCAGATTTCAGAAACCTTGATCTCCCTGCTACCCACTGTCCTTCCCAGCCCAGGCCCCAGAGCAGAGGATATCTCCTACTGATGACCCATGTGTGACTCCTGCTCCCCGGCCTGGTGACTTCTCACAGCACCTCCCAGACTGGCTCCGAACAGCTCTGGTAAAATAAAAAGAGAGAGAGAGAGAGAGAGAGAGAGAGAGAGAGAGAGAGAGAGAGAGAGAGAGAGAGAGAGAGAGAGATCTCTGCCAGGAGTCAGTGCTCTGAAGTGGGGCCCAACTAAAGCCCTGGGAGTTTTCCCTCCATGCCTTACACTCCAGGCCTGTGTGGGTAGAGCCTGCTTGCTTCCAGTCAGGCACTGTATCCGTGTAACACGTGTGTTTACATGTAAACACAAATTCCCCAGGGCCAGCTCCAGGCTGCCTTCCAAAAAGAAGAGGTGAAGTCCCCGAGCTTTGGAGGCAGGGCAGGGGTCTGCAGCCTCTTCTCACCCTGTCTCCTCCCTCTGTCACCCACTCACAGAATACCCCCAGGAGAAGTGGCAGAGTCAGGGGGAATAGAGGGGGCAAGGAAGAGCTATTTTTTCCAGCCTCTGGCTCCTTAGCTAGGGGTGGCCTCGTCATCGGACTCCAATTAACTGATCTTCTATAACTCAGAGTTGGTGGGGGGCAGCAGAGGGGAAAAGCCCAGGGAGGGAGCCAGGTCCCCGTGTTGTGCTTGATAACAATTATAGTTTAAAATCATAGCTTGCCGGGGCTCGGCTATATTTTACTTGATAACAATAAAAGTGACACATAAAGTTAACTGTTTATGTTTTATTTATTAGACTAAATCTGCCAGCGGTGGTAGGAGCGCTTGCCTCGTCGCTACAGCTTTTATAGGGCTGTAAAACGTCATAAATCAGTCTCGCGGAATCGCCCGCACTCTTTGTGTCGGCGGCACAGGGCTGGCGGCCGCTGGCTGCCTGCTCCCTGCTTTCCACGAAAAGTCGTAATGTGATTTTTTTCCCTCTGATTTTATTATTATGATCGCCGCCGTGATTAGTCAATCTACCTTTAATTCGCCGCCCTATGCTGCCTCCTCCCAGCCCAGCCTGGTTGACACTTGAATAAGTACCTTTTAAAACAGCATAACAACTATTTGAGGGTTTAATTAGAACATCTGCAATTAAGGGAATGAGGAGGGGGAAGAGAAAAAAAATAAAGCCCCGTGAGAGAGACACGGAAAGAGAAGATTCCTAACATTCTTTTTCACCACCTTTGGGATGTGGGAGAGGGTCCCCATTTCCAAATTAGGGTTCGCTTTGAGGGCTGGAATAGGAGGGAGCCACAAGCAAAGCCCAAAGAGACAGATTGGGCCTGAGCCCCTGGCTGCCATCCAGGTTCCAATGCTTAGGGCCTCAGCCCCAGCCCAAGCTCACCAGGGCTTGGCCCCCATGACTTGGAGCTTCAAAGTCCTAGAGACCTTCTCCCCAAGAGAACCCCCCCCCCAATCAGCTGGATAAGGGAACCGAATTCCCTAGAGGTCAATCACCTCTTACAGGAGACTCTCAAACTCCCAAAGCTTTTGGAGAATCCTTGCTCACTTGGATCTGACCCTGAATATGAGGACTGGCTGTATTCTTGGAAGAGGAGCTCAAGGCTGTGAGTGAGGGGAAAGCAGCTACGTTGTTGTTGGTGGCCGGGAGTTGTGTGAAGATTTTAAATTTTCTTTTATTCTCTCTCTCTCTCTCTCTCTCTCTCTCTCTCTCTCTCTCTCTCTCTCACTCACTCACTCATGGGGGCAAACTACAAGTTGCTGGAAGTGGGTAAAGGGAATGATCTGAGCAACAACTCCAAATTGCCCCATCTGGGAATCCAAAGCCCCAGAGAGCAGTGGTAGGGTGGGAAGGGTAAGGGAAAGCAGAGAGTTCTTCAGCCCTTCAGCCTGAGGTCCTGTCTAGGGTCTGCACCTGCCTCGCTGCCTCACTGGGCCCCAACTGACATTATTCTCTTCCTCTCCTTCAAAGGTGAGCTGTCTGCCCCTTCTCCCAGTCCCACTCCTTCACCTTCAACCCTGTCTCCCACCTCAACCTCCTTTTTCCTCACTTCTAACCCTCTAGATTGAACTTGCTAAAATATCCTTCCCAAGACATTACCCACCATCATACATGCCCCTACATTTCCTAGACTTCTTAGCTCCTGCAGGTGAGTCCAAGAGACTCTCTTTGGGTCAGTATAAATGAATAGACATGGGTTCAGATGCCTCACACTGGATGCCAAGTTTATCTTTGGTTATTATGGTTCACAAATACACATCTATACATGCTATTAATATTTGTTAAAATGCTAAATGCCTTTTATGCAGCCATTAATAAATGGATTTCTCATTTCAGGTTTGTTCAGCTAATTCAGCATGAATAACCAGAAAGTAAAAATCTATGAAATCCCCCCAAATGTGTCCAGTCTCATCTACATAACTTATAAAAATAATAAATAAAGCCAAATAACAAACAAAACCTCTCTGGGTGTTCCTGTAGCTTAGGAAAAGGACATTGACTATCACATGGGTTAAATACCTCAGTACACATACCCATACAGCATGTTTGCCTGAACATTGTTACAAACCAGGAAATCTTTTCCTGTAGAGGGCTCTTGCACTCAGCGGGGGCTTAACTCCTGGGGGGGTACTAAGGAGGCCCTCCCCAGTGATGAGTCTTTGTATTTGGTCTTCTCTTCCTTTGTGTTTCCTCTCCTGCCTCCCACTCCCCAAAGGCTCTGCCCTCTACTTCGCTTGGTCCCAGTGTTTATTCTTTATGTTTTCTGACCACCTTTTGCCAGCATCCAATGCTCTCTGCATGCTGCCCCACACCCCATCTCCTTTCTAAATCTCGATCTGGTTTCTCTCTCGGAAACAGGTTTCAGTACAAAGCGCTTCCCTTCTGACACCACTGAAGAAAAATATGTGTCCATTGTTGTGAGAGGCCTTATTGTGCCTGGATTACCATACTGACCGTTGGCTAACCCATATTCCTCCCCTCCCCAGTAACAAGATGCTGGCTGAGATACCCTAGCGGCTCCACAGATTCTGTGCTGCAGTAAAAATCCCACCTCATACTCCCTGGATTTTCTGAGGGGCAAAATAAATAAATAAGTTAAGTTAAACAAATGGGAGAAACAATTCAGGATTTAACTATAAAAAGGATAGTAAGTGTCACTCTTTCCCACTTTCTGAAGTACAGTGTTTTTTTTTTTAAATGTATGTGCTTTGTTATTGTTTTAGGGATTAAAAATTACAGCATGCTTCTTTCCTTTTCCTCAAATAAATAGACTTTTAGAAGGTATGCAATCAAGCAATTCATTTCATTTTGATTTTTTTTCTCCCCCGGGCAACTTGAAAACCCCAAACTAAAACAAGATTCTTATACTATTTTTTCCTTTTGTGTATCTCTGTGTGTGTACATGGGTATCTGTGTGTTTTTGTCCTTTCCCAATGCAAGCAGGCAGGACTAATGTATGCAAAAGAATATGCAAATGTTTAATTGATTTTTTCCTTAAATCTCTTGTCAGTAAAAGTAATGAATTGGTCTAAAATGATTTTAATAACCTGGACATGTCACTAGAAAATACTCAACCTTTTTTCCCTTCCTGGAATCGCTTAGAGTATAAAAAGAGAGAGAGAGAGAAAGAAAAGAAAAGCAATCATGGAATGTTAATTTGCCCCCCTTTAAAATATTAAAGATGGATTTTTCTTGTTTGTTTGGAGACCATAGGCATGGTCCTCTTGTGGATCTCCCCCCCCCTTGCCTCCTTTGGAATTCAATTTTCCTCAAATCTCGTTTAAAGTGGCTTTTTAAAAAGTGGCCGCATTTTAATATTGGTTAGACAGAGTGACCTGCATTTCACCTCGGGTGTTTGACTTGTTCCAATAGGTCACTGCCATGGGGTTATTGATGGGGAAACTCCATTGAAATTTGTCTCTTCGCAAATGGCCTTTAGATCTTCCAGCGAGTTCAATAACTAGTTATAATGTGGAAGGGGAAAAATGAAGGCCCTGGGCTAACGAATTTGATGCTTCATTTTTATGCTGGAGAAATTGTTAGTTAGAGGTTGGGTTCCCCCACCCTCTGTTCATCCCAGCTTGGGTGATCCCCACTCCCATTCAAAGCTGCTGGATTATATCTCCCATAAGGCTTGTGCTGAGGTATCCCTTTCTCTCTGAGGCAAACCTTATTTGTGAATATTGTTGTAAACCCTGACATATGGACACAGGAAGCTTGCTTTTTTTGGAGGTTTGAAACCTAAACTTTTTGTTAAGAGAACTTTCAAAGGAGGCTAAATATGTCTTGAAAAGATCTAGAGATTAGGCTGGCCATAGTTGAGAGAGGGCTCAGTGACCCCCACAGTTGAGGATAGTGGAAACTCTTTTGGGGAGTTGATAGGGTGTTTCAAGGTGCTCTGATGTGTTCCTGACCTCGGAGCTTCCAGCCACATGCGAGATTAGGCACCCGGGACCAAGACAAGAAGAC